CTGGATATATAGATAGAAAAATACCATAGGGAAAGCCGGATCCTTACCTGCCACAGAGTTATCGAAGAAATTGCCAAGAAAATATAAGAATGTTAACCGACACGTGGAATATCGAGTGAATGAGACGTGACTTGATTCTTTCCTTGCGACAGCAAACTTTTCCAAAACTCGTTTCATTCTCACGTAAAGACTACGAATTTCTTAAAAAATATAATGATTTAATGATCGTGAATATTGTATAAATGATGGAAATCGAATAGTTATTTACTCCAAAAATGCAATGGAGTACGCTTGCTTCACTATGCTCCGAAATGAACATGGCGACGGTTCATTCCCCTTCTCCTCGTCATGGACCCCGCCCCCTTGCAGTGCCATTCGCAGGTGTATTTTCATCAAGTATGATGATAGCTGGTAGAAACGAATATTCCTTTCATTAGAGCTAATGAACGATCAATCTCAAATAAGAATTGGGTGGACTGGGAACTCGTTAGTCACGCTGTCAATAGCAGATTTTTATTGTCTGTTCGACTACAAGTTCTCATATGAATTGAATTATTTACATGGAAAAAAAACTATCTCATATGTGCAAAATTCATTCACACCACAATTTTGTCCATGCACTTCGTAAATTCATTTGTCTTCAATTTATATATCACTGGAAAAGCGATCCACGAATATACACCCAAACACTTCAGAATCATGTGTTCTCTCTGCTTTTGTTTGTCTTCCGGGGTCTTTTTCATCGTTTTTGGAGCTTCACCTGTAATGCAATGATGAAAAANGTGGCTGACGCCCAAGAGAGAATCATCGCTTGAAGCGACAGTCATCGAGGGCTGATTAGATTAAGGAAAAATTGTAAACGATGTATTGAAATGTGTATAATCAGAGAAGAAAGTTATCAAACTGATAATTTTCTTCCCCCTACAGGGAGGGATGTTATGCCCCACAAAGTGGAGCATAATTACTCAATCATTCCGAAAAATGAGCGAACAAATGTAGCACATATTTCGGAATACAAACATTAATAAGTAAGCCAGTGGATCATGCATCAGTATTTCCACTGGGCTCAATCGCATGGTGTTATCGTAACAACATACAGATATGAGGCAATGGCCAAGACGTCATAGCCTCTCGTTGTAACAAATACTCGAGAGACTGATGGCTCTAGGCCAGTAACTTAACCGATTCTTATCGCGGTTCACCTGATTCTTCCGTATCAGAATGAACACATTGAATTGTCTTTTTAAGAGTTGAGATTAAATAAGGATATTATTTAGTATTCGTCGCGCAAGTGCTATTTTCTTCCGAATTACCGAACCCTACCGCTCGGGACTCTAACACTGTCGCCTTATCTAGAAACCCGCCCAGCTGTGTTTGGGGAAAAAGGGCCAACGTACTGGCGTTCCAACTGGGCGATTCTAGAGGCGCTATCGACTTAGACTAGGGACCAACGGCTACGTGAGAGGACTCTAGCGCCCCCTCGATTGCCGTCGAGCTGATTGTTGGTGGTGGGGTAACAAATGACCCACCGCCGCTGAGAAGTTCCGACTAGGGCAAGAAGGCCCGAGTAGATTTCGAGTTAGTCGGTGACAGACGCTGGAGTCGAGCGGATGAATTTTCCGGTAACTTGACACTCGTGTGAGTGGCAATTATCCGCATAGATTATGTGGGTACGTTGTGAGGACAAGATCTGAAACAATGAGAGAATGGGACGCTTCGGCGTCCCAAACAGAATGATTGCATTACTTTGAGGACGTGGGATGTTTTAATTCCATGTTCTCAGGGATCCATCACTTCGGACGAAAGAAGTGGTGTTGGCGTGGATCCGTGGGCCCGGAGTTAGGCCGACTCCTGCAGGGCCGATCGCACGTGCCTCCACGAGTAATCTGGGTGTTGGCTCGCGATGATAGTGCTTTTATCGAGCATTGAGGTTCAGTTGGGTCGGGCACAGGTGGGTAAGAATAAGTCTCCGGATACCCGTGTCGCATGTGCCCCTCAGTGTTCGGCGCTCCGAGGAGTGAGAAGGATTCGCAGGTAATCGTCGATTTTTCCAGAGTTGAGCCACTCTGGAGAGAAAGGAAATACGTCAGAGGAATGGAAACATCCTCGGTGAAAGACATATGGAGAAATGTCTCCGAAAAGACGAGGATCGATTGAGTGAATTACTCCTAATATCATGGACCTCGCCCACTCTACCGTATTACGCCGATGCTGGCTCGGCATAGTCAGTCCCGTCACGAGAAGTTCTCAGGGTAGATGAGGACTTCATTCGTTTTTTCTAATTCTAATTTGAGAGTGAATTTCTGTGGTTCCCGGTAGCTTAGTCGGTAAGAGTGCCCGGCGCGTATCTGGGAGACCCGGGTTCGATTCCCGGCTGGGTGAAGCGGAAATTTTTTCTCTCTAAATTCTAATTCTCATAGAATTGAGGCCGCTTTACCGTTGGATTTTCCGTGAAAATCCAGCTGGCGCCCAACATAATTGACCGAAGAATGAAGATGTCAAACTAGTTTGCGATTTCTGCTGGTGAAGCACCAGCAAAAATCCCTTACAGCATTCAGCTAAGGCGGGGGTCGTGCACCCTCACTTATTCACTCTTGAAGAAATCGAAAGTGCTGCAAATCATTTTTCGACAACGAATCGGGACCCATCACTGGTTCTATCCATCTCCACTGACACATTCAAATAATTTATTCAATATTTCAAAAACGAAAATAGGTTTTTACAAGGGTCAATTGTTTGTTACTCTAAATGTCCCACTGGTCACCGCAACCCAGCGCTTCAATTATTCGGTCATAAACGAGGGTCGGCGTACATTCAGCCTAGAGATCGGCAGCAATCTATACATTTCGTAAAGATACTGACTCTTTTCACTTATTACTTTTTAATGAGTAATCGAGACTTTGCATTACTTCATTACTTTAGTATTTATAATGGGAATTATGCAATATTTCATTACTTTAGTAATCTGAATTGGGAATTACAATTTTTTCATTACTCGATAAATAAGTAATTTTTGACGTGAACAATTCGATTACATTTTTAATATTCATCAGCAAAAATACCTGTTGATTAATTTTTGTAATTGTATTTGGAAATCGACAACACTCGATTACCAAGGAGTAATCGCAATTGAAATGTAATGATTGATCATTTCGTAATTGTATTTGTAAATCGAAAATATTCAATTACTGAGGAATAATAGTAATCAAAGAGAAGAACATCAGTTACTTAATAGTATTGAGAAATTGAAAATATTCAATTACTGAAAAATAATAGGCGAGACTGTCTATAATTGTTCCATCAACCGACAACAAAAATGGAATATTGTCCGATTATATTATGAATAATGTCTGAAAATAGTTATTTTCAGTGATCAGTAGGATATGTAAGAATTATTCAATTACAAACAAGCAGACGACTGGAAGCATGCAACCATAGATTTTTTCAATCAGCTTTGCATGCATTGATCGAGGTAGCAACCATCGATAAGTAATTCAGAAATAAATTGTTTAAAAGAAACTCATGACCGGATAATGCTGAAATTTCGTACCGAATTTGTATAAAGTGTTACTATCTATCTATCATAATCTCAGTTTTTTCAGAATGGTTTAGGTTAAGAATATTCAATATTCGAAAAAGTGACGTTCGCGAGGGAGTCGGTTAACAACTACACTTACATCTTCGTCAAAATTCATATTTTTATGTTTCAGACTCATACAGGATATACATCATGATCTACACCATTATATACATCATCTCCCATCCAAATTCGAAAATTTAGAAATTGAACGATGGCTATGCTTCTATTCGGAAGCGAAAATGTTTCCAAAAGCAACAAAATGAATCATCGCATATTAAAAAAACATTTCCTTAACGAGAGAGGTGCTTGGGTTCTGAAACGTATCAGAGGCGCGAGTTAGTGGCTAGTCGTTTTAACGACCAAATAAGCGTAAAAAGCGGGTTGGAAAAGGTGAAAGTTGGAAAAGAAGGAAGATAAAGGTTAAAGGTGCGTGAGAGAGTTGAAGGGTGGAGTAACACTTGATTAATCAGGGGATCGTAGAAAGAAAGACGGCGTGAAGTGATAGAGGTTAGGAGAATGGTGGGTAGTAAAGGGGGGTTGGTAAGGTGAAGGGGGGGAAAGGGCGCAAAAATGATGACTTCAGAGATGGAGATGGCGCCAAACGGGATTAAATACCCGGGAGAAATAAGGAGGAGGGCGACAGGGCGGAGGAGCCATCTGGAGAGAAAAGAAGAGGTAGGAGAAAGAAAAACTCGGAGGGTAATGAAGAGGCACTGAGGGACAGGTCGATAACGCCCAGGACGAGTAGGCGGGGCACTAGGTCAAAATCAAAGATAAGGAAACTGGAGGATCTTTGGAGGAGTGATAAGGAAAAAGGGAATGGTAAGACGAAGACAGGGAGGAATTTTGGAGAAAGGTGGTGTGGACACAAGGAGTGTGGAAGTAGTTAATAGTGAAATGACAAAGAGAGTAGAGAGTACTGGGGAAGAGGAAGGATTCAAGGATTCAAAAACCCTACCGAGGACGCCGAAAATCAGTGCTAAAAGTACGGAGGCGAGAGGGTCATCAGTATTACCCGTGGAATAGGGAGGACAAGATGAGGAGGAAGAAGTGACAGAGGATAAGAGTGGGGAAGTTGACGCTGTTGCCATGCACGAAAGCACACTGATGGAAAAAGAAGGAGAGGGAGAAAGACAGGTAAGCAGCCTAGAGGATGCTCAGCCGACACTCTTGACGTTGGAACAAAGAGAAATATTAGAGACAAAGGAGGCAGAGGCAGGGAAGAAGAAAGTGGTGGACAACACGGAGAGCGTAACGGTTGAGGTTAAGGATGGGGTCAATGATGGTAGTAGGGAACAGGTAGAACAGCTCCAAGAGGATGGGACCGGGGACGATCGCGGAGGACTGCAGAGACAGGTAAGAGAGAGTGACTGAGGTAAGACGTAGTGAAACTCCGTCATTGATGGGCTCGATTGGCGCGATGGATATTGATAGTCTTGAAAAGTGGATGAGGGATTGGGAAGAGAGGCAGAAAGCAGAATGGGAAGCCAGAATGGCGGACTTGGAACACCTGATCAGGGAGGAGGTAAGAAAAGGAATTAGGAAGGACAAATGCGAGAGCTGTGAGAGAAGGAGGGAAGTAGAGGAAGAAACAATAACCTGGAGGGAAGAACAATTCAGGGAGATGCAGGAAAGAGTGAGGCAAGCGGAGGAAGAGATAGAGAACCTGGCTGGGCAAGTAAGGGAATGGAAGGGGATGGCGAATTCGTGGAGGCTGAAAGCGGAGGATCTTGAGCAGACACACAGGAGAATACGAAGAGAGGATAGGGATGAAAGAGTGGAGAGGCAACCAACCCAAGTAGCCCCTGGAATGGCGCCTGGGAGTTCCCTAGAGGGGAGGATTCACTTGGACATAGAGCAGAAAGGTGTCAGAGGCGATGGAGGTCTCGACAATCCGGAAGAGCAAAGAGGAAATGATGATGCAGGTTTTCAGACTGATGGAGGAGGTGGAGGAAGTTCTGAAGGGGAGGAGGAGGAGTATGACTGGGCACAGGACGATGCAAGGTACTGGGAGGATGAGTACGAGGACGAGGAGGTTAGGGACGAAAAGGAGGCGGAAGTCCAAAATTGGCTAGCTAAGGACTGGGATGCGGAAGACAGGGAGAGAGAGGAGGCAGCAAAGTACTATAATCCTCCATCGAAAGCACTGGAAGAGTAGGAATGGCAGGCTGAGACAGAAGCAAAAAGGGCAAAAAGAAGGAACCTCATTATTGAGTGGCATTGATGCTCATCACGAGGACAAAGAGGTCGGAGCTGGAAAGCTGGTTCTATGAGGCATTTGGAGTGGGAACAAGGATAGAAATGATGGAGAGAAGGGAAGGGCGAGGATGGTTGGTAAGAGTGGAGGAGCTGGACCACAAGAAGAGGATAATGCTGGGGTAGGGCAGAGTTGAGACGAAAGAGATGGGGGGTGTACATCTGTGATGATCTATCAGAAAGGCAGAAGGAGGTGCAGGAGTGGCTAGGGAAGGAGGCGAGGAACTGGAGGAAGAAGGGGAGACAGGCCGAGGTAGGATACGAAAGCCGTGGGGTGGATGGGGCTTGGACGAAGTGGGACGATAGAAGAGGAGAGCTGAGAGCTTGGTATGAGGAGGCAGGCAATGGATAGTACGGGGCAGAACAAGGGCTCAGGATAATGCACTAGAATGTGGAAAACGTCAGAAATATTGCAAAGAATGAGGAGGAATGGAGAGAAATGGATATAGTAATGTTTCAAGAGACTCATCTGGAGAAAAAGACAATGTGCAAAATGATAAGGAAGATGAATAAGCAATTCCAATGGTTCGGGAAGGAGGCAAGGAGAGTGAATAAACGAGGAAAGGCCAGTGGGGGTCACTTGCTGGGGATCAGGAGGTCGCTGGAGGCAGATTGGACTGTAGAGGAATGGGAATATGGGCTCATGGTGAAGATTAAGGAGAAGGACACTGAAGTGAGCTACAGAGTATTGAGCATATACGTTAATGATAGGAAAAATCTGAAGAAAGCTTTGAGACAAATGGATGAACTGGTGGAAGAATTGGAGGGGTCGAGTGAGAGACTGATCATCGCTGGCGATCTGCACGCGAGGATAGGAGAGCTGCAGGGGGCGGCGGAGTGCAGAATGAAACGGGAATCATACATAAGGAAAAGAAACTCGCAGGATAAGACAGTAAGGACCGAAGGGGTAAGGCTAGTAGAATGGTGCGAAGAAAGGGCATTGTTGATACAGAACGGAAGGGCCAACAAGGATGAGGAGGGGAGTATAAAGTTTATAGGGGAAGGGGCAGGGCTGGGAAGTGTATTAGACTATATAATAGTTAATAGGGAGGGGGAGGAAGCCCCTGAATGGTTCTGGGAAATGGTGGTAACGGAACAAGAAGGATCGGACCATCTCCCTATTGTCTTCAGAGTAGAATGGGACAGGAAGACGGCTGAAAGTGGGGGCAGTAGCAGCAAAGTAAAGTTGAGATGGAAAGAAGCCCGGTTAGAGGAATTCAGAGAAAAGTGGAGCGAAGAATGGATGGAGAGAGGAGAGTTAGAGGAGGGGGTGAAGGACAGGTGGGAGAGGCTAGTAGAGGTAACCAAGGCAGCACACGATTCGAGGATGATTTCGGGGCGAAATCCGTCGAGGAGAGCACACTGGGATAATGGGGACTACTAGAAAGGAGGGAGATGTTTCGGGATCTGAAAAGGTTCAGGAAGAAGCGGGATTGGGCTTCTAAACGGAAGTATAACGCGACCAAGAGAGTCTTGAGAAATATTAGGAATCGGCTGATTAAGGAATGGGTAGAGGACAAACAAAGGAGTGTGGCAGCGAGTAGGACGATGGCGGACTGGTGGAAGGCAATGAACTGGTTCAGGAAGACAAGGAAAAAGGAGATAAATAGGATCACGGATGAGGAATGGCTAACTTATTTCAAAGGTTTACTGGAAGCGAAAGAGAAAAAGCAAAAGGGCAAGCTGATGCAGAGAAGGAGGGGAGGCGGAGTATAGAGGAACCACTAGAGGGAAGATTGGATGAAGCAGGAGGGGAGGTTGCTGGAAATAACGAAGAGGACGCAGGAGAATCAGAGATGGATAAAGAGCCAACAGACTGGGAGATCCGAGGGGAACTGATCCAATAAATCAGTTGAAGCTGGGAAAAGCGACAGGAGAAGATGGTATAATGGCTGAATTTTGGAGAAATTTAGCGGCGGAGGGGGGCAATGAATTAACTGAGATTATCAAAGAATTGTGGAGAAAAGAAGAAATGATACATAGATAGAGACTAGCCATGAAAGATCATGAAANAATGAAGAGGCACTGAGGGACAGGTCGATAACGCCCAGGACGAGTAGGCGGGGCACTAGGTCAAAATCAAAGATAAGGAAACTGGAGGATCTTTGGAGGAGTGATAAGGAAAAAGGGAATGGTAAGACGAAGACAGGGAGGAATTTTGGAGAAAGGTGGTGTGGACACAAGGAGTGTGGAAGTAGTTAATAGTGAAATGACAAAGAGAGTAGAGAGTACTGGGGAAGAGGAAGGATTCAAGGATTCAAAAACCCTACCGAGGACGCCGAAAATCAGTGCTAAAAGTACGGAGGCGAGAGGGTCATCAGTATTACCCGTGGAATAGGGAGGACAAGATGAGGAGGAAGAAGTGACAGAGGATAAGAGTGGGGAAGTTGACGCTGTTGCCATGCACGAAAGCACACTGATGGAAAAAGAAGGAGAGGGAGAAAGACAGGTAAGCAGCCTAGAGGATGCTCAGCCGACACTCTTGACGTTGGAACAAAGAGAAATATTAGAGACAAAGGAGGCAGAGGCAGGGAAGAAGAAAGTGGTGGACAACACGGAGAGCGTAACGGTTGAGGTTAAGGATGGGGTCAATGATGGTAGTAGGGAACAGGTAGAACAGCTCCAAGAGGATGGGACCGGGGACGATCGCGGAGGACTGCAGAGACAGGTAAGAGAGAGTGACTGAGGTAAGACGTAGTGAAACTCCGTCATTGATGGGCTCGATTGGCGCGATGGATATTGATAGTCTTGAAAAGTGGATGAGGGATTGGGAAGAGAGGCAGAAAGCAGAATGGGAAGCCAGAATGGCGGACTTGGAACACCTGATCAGGGAGGAGGTAAGAAAAGGAATTAGGAAGGACAAATGCGAGAGCTGTGAGAGAAGGAGGGAAGTAGAGGAAGAAACAATAACCTGGAGGGAAGAACAATTCAGGGAGATGCAGGAAAGAGTGAGGCAAGCGGAGGAAGAGATAGAGAACCTGGCTGGGCAAGTAAGGGAATGGAAGGGGATGGCGAATTCGTGGAGGCTGAAAGCGGAGGATCTTGAGCAGACACACAGGAGAATACGAAGAGAGGATAGGGATGAAAGAGTGGAGAGGCAACCAACCCAAGTAGCCCCTGGAATGGCGCCTGGGAGTTCCCTAGAGGGGAGGATTCACTTGGACATAGAGCAGAAAGGTGTCAGAGGCGATGGAGGTCTCGACAATCCGGAAGAGCAAAGAGGAAATGATGATGCAGGTTTTCAGACTGATGGAGGAGGTGGAGGAAGTTCTGAAGGGGAGGAGGAGGAGTATGACTGGGCACAGGACGATGCAAGGTACTGGGAGGATGAGTACGAGGACGAGGAGGTTAGGGACGAAAAGGAGGCGGAAGTCCAAAATTGGCTAGCTAAGGACTGGGATGCGGAAGACAGGGAGAGAGAGGAGGCAGCAAAGTACTATAATCCTCCATCGAAAGCACTGGAAGAGTAGGAATGGCAGGCTGAGACAGAAGCAAAAAGGGCAAAAAGAAGGAACCTCATTATTGAGTGGCATTGATGCTCATCACGAGGACAAAGAGGTCGGAGCTGGAAAGCTGGTTCTATGAGGCATTTGGAGTGGGAACAAGGATAGAAATGATGGAGAGAAGGGAAGGGCGAGGATGGTTGGTAAGAGTGGAGGAGCTGGACCACAAGAAGAGGATAATGCTGGGGTAGGGCAGAGTTGAGACGAAAGAGATGGGGGGTGTACATCTGTGATGATCTATCAGAAAGGCAGAAGGAGGTGCAGGAGTGGCTAGGGAAGGAGGCGAGGAACTGGAGGAAGAAGGGGAGACAGGCCGAGGTAGGATACGAAAGCCGTGGGGTGGATGGGGCTTGGACGAAGTGGGACGATAGAAGAGGAGAGCTGAGAGCTTGGTATGAGGAGGCAGGCAATGGATAGTACGGGGCAGAACAAGGGCTCAGGATAATGCACTAGAATGTGGAAAACGTCAGAAATATTGCAAAGAATGAGGAGGAATGGAGAGAAATGGATATAGTAATGTTTCAAGAGACTCATCTGGAGAAAAAGACAATGTGCAAAATGATAAGGAAGATGAATAAGCAATTCCAATGGTTCGGGAAGGAGGCAAGGAGAGTGAATAAACGAGGAAAGGCCAGTGGGGGTCACTTGCTGGGGATCAGGAGGTCGCTGGAGGCAGATTGGACTGTAGAGGAATGGGAATATGGGCTCATGGTGAAGATTAAGGAGAAGGACACTGAAGTGAGCTACAGAGTATTGAGCATATACGTTAATGATAGGAAAAATCTGAAGAAAGCTTTGAGACAAATGGATGAACTGGTGGAAGAATTGGAGGGGTCGAGTGAGAGACTGATCATCGCTGGCGATCTGCACGCGAGGATAGGAGAGCTGCAGGGGGCGGCGGAGTGCAGAATGAAACGGGAATCATACATAAGGAAAAGAAACTCGCAGGATAAGACAGTAAGGACCGAAGGGGTAAGGCTAGTAGAATGGTGCGAAGAAAGGGCATTGTTGATACAGAACGGAAGGGCCAACAAGGATGAGGAGGGGAGTATAAAGTTTATAGGGGAAGGGGCAGGGCTGGGAAGTGTATTAGACTATATAATAGTTAATAGGGAGGGGGAGGAAGCCCCTGAATGGTTCTGGGAAATGGTGGTAACGGAACAAGAAGGATCGGACCATCTCCCTATTGTCTTCAGAGTAGAATGGGACAGGAAGACGGCTGAAAGTGGGGGCAGTAGCAGCAAAGTAAAGTTGAGATGGAAAGAAGCCCGGTTAGAGGAATTCAGAGAAAAGTGGAGCGAAGAATGGATGGAGAGAGGAGAGTTAGAGGAGGGGGTGAAGGACAGGTGGGAGAGGCTAGTAGAGGTAACCAAGGCAGCACACGATTCGAGGATGATTT